TTAGCCAGGAGTGGTGGCACACATCTGTAATCTCAGCTACTCAGGAGGCTGTGAGGCAGGAGAATCACTTGAACTAGGGAGGCAGAGGTTGCAGTGAGCTGAGATAGCACCACTGCACTCTAGCCTGTGATAGAGTGAGACACTGTCAAAAAAAAAAAAAAAATTAACATTTGTGGCTGATTCTCTTTTCCAGCTCCTTGGTGGTCTTGTTAAGTTTATTAAAGAAAATCTATTGTAAGGAGGCTGGTGGAGACTGAATCATTCACTCAGAAAAATAAGGTCAGTGAATGTATTCTAAACACACCTGAGTTGGTGTCATTGCCATGTCTAGATTCAAGATGACCTGAAAAAGCCAAGGAAAAGGTGAATTCTGAAGTCCTGCGGTAACCGGTGCCTTAGACACAAAAGGGAATGTGCTCCATGCTTCTCATGGAAAACCAGAAGGGCAAAGACAAAGCAAATATTCTTTAAAGCAGATTGGTTTGGCAGAAGGAAAAATGTACAGGATTTGTAATGTCTTTATCTTTCAGTGCACAAAAAGGAACATGGGTAAATGACACAATGGGAGTGAGTTGGTATTGTCATTAACACATGCGAACATATACTCGTGCACACACACAAGCCACGTAACTCATATATTTTCATCTAGCTTAGATAGACTTTTTTTTTAAATAGCAACTAGGAAATAGAGTTTACTGAAAGGAACCTGGCATGAGAAAAAGTAAGACTCGCTGGCTATGCTGTCATTCAGAGAGAAGAGGAAATGGAAATTACTTGTCATAGAAAATCTAAAATTCCCTGAAGTATCAATGGAAACTCATCCTTCGCCTTATATGAAATTAACAAATAAAAAAAAAGCTAGCTATCGAGTAAATTATTTTGTAATTTGTGACTGTGACTTTTTAAGATTAAACAGATTTCTGCTTAGAAACCAAGATTAATGTGTTGTACATAGCAGAAAATATCTGGAATTTTTGCAGGCAGTTTTAATTAGAGAATGAAAATAATCACTAAATCTGCATAATAAGGAGGGTCATCATTTTTCGAGAAGCTTCTCTAATAAAAAATACTGTTTCTGAGTTTTATTTTTATTATTAAGTAGTGACTGAAGAACTGTACACGTTGATATATGTCTCCATTATTCTGTATTTTTATATTTCTTCGAATTATTAAAATAAATCTGAATAACATTTTTTTTGGTTCTGACATTTTGATTCTGATTGTTAAAAGCAACTGACATGTTCTTAGTGTATTGATCCATAGTTTTTAAAGTCTTGGCAGCAATGATTCATGGAAATTGATTTGGTTTTTGTTTTGTTTTGTTTTTGAGACGGAGTCTAGCCCAGGCTGGAGTACAATGACTCGATCTTGGCTCACTGCAACCTTGGCCTCCAGGGTTCAAACAATTGTCCTGCGTCAGCCTCCCGAGCTGGAATTACAGGTGCCCGCCACCACACCCAGCTAATTTTTATATTTTTAGTAAGGACGGGGGTTTCACCACATTGGCCAGGCCGATCTCGAACTTCTGACCTCATGATCTGCCTGTCTCAGCCTCCCAAAGGGCTGGGATTACAAGCATGAGCCACCAGGCCCAGCCAGTAATTGATTTAAATGATCATGCTAAGGTATTTGTTAGTGCCAGGTATATGTTTCCAAATTAATAAAGCACTTCAGGTGTTTCATCTTTGCAAAATTGCAAGTTAAACTTTATAATATTACTTGTTCCTTATGGAATCAAAATTTAGTGTTGTCATGCAACCTATTTTTAATTTTCTTTTGTTTTCCCCAGAACCTTAACTGTTTTGACATGAATAATCTTTTGACAGGAACACTGAATACTAAGGTACTCACTGTAGGCAAAATTTTTCTGTGATGCCCTAACTCTGACTATAATTGAAGTTATGAGTGTAAAGCACCTACATCTTTTCATAATGTGTGGCATTTAAGTTAGTTTATATTTTCTTCTTACAATTACAAAACCGAGTTTTATTTATCTTATTAAAACAAAAACTTGCAGCAAACATAGGAAATCTTTGATATTGGGCACACATTCATTCAGGGACCAACCTTGACTATCTTTCCTTTCATCAGTAATTATCGTGGGTACTTTATCGCTGCATTTCCTGACTCAAACCTGATAACATCTCCAATTCATGGTTACGCTAATATAGTTTGCATATATCAGGTAATTAGTTCCACCTTCTAGAGTCGCTGAGTCACAACACTGTAGTCAGTCTGTTTCGCTTTACCACATAACGGAAATAGACAAATCATTTCAGCACTCCTACGTGAAACTGCCTCTGGGTAAGCTGAATGTAGGTCACAACTGATAGGTCTGTGATGAGAAGCCACGATTTCAGGGTACCCTGTCACCTGCTTGTTGGATTTAACCTTAGCCTCTCTAAAACAAGGCTTTCTTGTTCCAGTGAAAATTTGCCAACATAATAAAACTAAACATTTTGAAGTGAATAACATTTAAAAAGTATATACAAAAACTTTACAGACCTTATGCCATTTAATCTTAAAACAAATTGGTGAGTTATCTTCATCTGCAAGATGAGGAATACAAGCTCAAAGAAGTTCAATTGGCTTGCTCAAGGTGGAGTTAGGATTAGAACACAGGCTACCATAACCCCAAAGCCAGTTGTTCCCAAATTACTTGAGTATCAGAATCATCTGAAAAATTATATATATAGATTTCTAGGCCATCTCTGCATAGTCTCCCTCTGTAAGTCTATTCATATTTGTGGTTTGTTTTTATTTTCTAGGTGGACTTCAGCCAAGAAAAGAAACTAAACCAAACCATTTTTATAAGCCAAGGAATGCGTTAAGTGGTATAATAAATATTATAGCAGCTTATCTTGAGCTGGCTTTCTGAAGTAATTATTTTCTCTGTCAGGCAAATAATATGGAAAGAATAAGAGAGACTGAGGTAGTGTAGCTACAGTGATGGGCTTATAAACCGCCTCCCAGTAAATGGGAGAAGACCTGATTTATGGCATCTGCTGATTTCGGTGGTGTAAATACTCCTACTATGGCCAATTTCAAACTACTGGTAACTTTAACAACTTGCTAACAACATTCTTGAATATCTAATGATTGGCCCATGAGTCAGCTCCAACATATTACTGGCATGTAGACTGAATAGGGGAGAAACTGAACAATTTCCCAGCATTATCTGAATTGTCCATTATGTGGTTTGAATTGGTGTAAATTCCCCAAACGTTACCCTACCTGTTGGTCTCGTGCTGATTTTCAAAGGTGGCTCAGTGTCCCCCAAGTCCTCATTTCTCAATTTCCACATACGCTTTATATGGATCTAGGGCAGAATGAAACCACGGATGGAGACTACTGGGTAGAGCACTTCCTAGAAGAGAAATAGATGCCATCTTTAAGATGACTGCTCCTTTGCTCTTACCTGCCACATGGCAGGGGTAGCAGCATGGGGGGCTGCCTCCTGTGTGAGAGCATCAGGGTGGGAATGAAACATGACACAGGATTTAAAGAAGCTTGGCTCGGATGTGAGGGCGATCTGGCTGTGACATCTGTCACCCCATTGATCGCCAGGGTTGATTCGGCTGATCTGGCCGGCTAGGCGGGTGTCCCCTTCCTCCCTCACCGCTCCATGTGCGTCCCTCCCAAAGCTGCACGCTCGGTCGAAGAGGACGACCATCCCCGATAGAGGAGGACCGGTCTTCGGTCAAGGGTATACGAGTAGCTGTGCTCCCCTGCTAGAACCTCCAAACAAGCTCTCAAAAAGCTTGGCTCTAAGCCTGAGAGCAAAGGGCTGGGTCTTTCTGTGCCTCCACTTGCCATGGGAGAAAGACATGTATGGTTAGATTGCGGGGTCAACATTAGCAAGAAAGTGCATCAGCATGGAGCTGAAGAGACCAGCAGTCTTTTAGTCCATGAGTTAAGCTCATGGGGCAAGTTGGCTTCTCAGAGACCCCATGTGGCCAGACCCATTGGTGCACAACTCGAGCTAGTCCAATGACACAGACTGTTGTTTGGCCTGGAGTAGTCTGTCGGCAGAATCCCACCTTGGGAAACTGAGTGATGGTGGTTTGACAGATTGGGCTCTGAGCACAATAACATGACTACCACCATCAGATATAAAAGTACCAAAAACATATTCCAAAACCAAATAGAAATAATTCTAGGATCATCTACCATTTTATATTATTTGTTCCTTTGGTAAACTTCTAGAAGTCAGGATATTTTGTGGATGTCTGATATGTGCACGCACAATTATAACAAAAATATATAATCCATCCTTGAGCTCCCTAAGTAGCCAATCAACACTGTTCTGCATAAGGACAAGCTCGTTTTGAATATTAATTTGCTTTCATTCTGGTGGAATCCATTTGTACAATAATTCAATGCTCACATACTCTTTTTCCCGACTAGAAAAGGTAGACATTTATCTTCCAAGAAGGCAAAGTGGAAAATTAACTCCCAAATGAATCAACGAGAGAGAGAATTGAATAACAGTGGGACTTGCAATTTTAGCATACACACTTCAAAGGAGTTAACGTGGGTGGATTTCGAGTAAGGAGACCTAGATTTAATTCACCAGCTTTGAGATCTTGGGCCAGTTATTTTATCTGCCTTCCCATCTGTAAAATGAGGATATTTATGCTTAAATCTCATGGTAACATTTCCTCCTACGTACCAAGCATATTTATCATGTTATTTATCCTTAATCCTCAAAACCATCTTTCAAGGGTTAACCTGGGAGTTCAGAATTCCATGGGGATTAGACCAGAAATTAATATGCAAAACCTCCCATGTATGTGTTTTGGTGTATTTTTTTAAGGGCTATCAAAAACAGATACACTGAGAATCTCAATAGCTGGGGTGAAGATGGGGAAGGGGGCAGGGGTAAGAGCAGGTAGGTGTATGCATTTTAGAAAAACCTCTCCTTGCAATTCTGCAGTTGGCTTCCCGTGTGGCTTGTGAGATTTAATTTAGACAAAAAGACCAAGCCACCAGTTTATAAGATTTATTTGGGTATATACTGAATATTCAAAGCAGAAGTTATATTCAAGGTGAATAAAAATGGAATTACCAGGATATTCTGCAGAGAAATGAAAGCGTATATCTATACAAAGACTTGCACACAAATACTGATAGTTTTTTTCATAATAAACCCAAACTGAAAACAATGCCAAAGTCCACCAGCAAGTGAATAAATTAAAAGGGAACATGTGCACCAAAACATGGATGACTCCTAAAAGTATTATGCTGAGTAAAAGCAGGCATAAAGGATGGCTCCATTTATATAAAATTCCTGTAAACTAATTTATACCGACAGAAAGCAGATTACTGGTTGCCTTGGGGACCGGGGTGGAAGGACAGACTAACTGCGAAAGAACATGAAGAAACTTTTAGGGTGATGGAACATAATGTATCATGATTGTGGTGTTAGTTTCACAGATATGTACATCTGTTCAAATTCATTGAGCAGTAATTTTTTTAACAATTGCAGTTTATTGTACAGAGAAGTATGTTTTAATAAAATAAATAAATAATTGAATTTGCAACCCCAGCTCCTGAATACTAGCAAATCTCAAGGAGCAGTTATCATGTAACTAAGACTACTTACTCACCAACTCAAATGCATGTCATCTGAGTTGCCCTTAGTATGAGCGATAAAACAGTATGGGACCCTCAACACTATTCTCTCCCCCAGGCCACTGAATAAAGTTTTTTTTTTTTTTTTTTTGAGACAGAGTTTCGCTCTTGTTACCCAGGCTGAAGTGCAATGGCGCGATCTCGGCTCACTGCAACCTCCACCTCCTGGGTTCAGGCAATTCTCCTGCCTCAGCCTCCTGAGTAGCTCGGATTACAGGCACACGCCACCATGCCCAGCTGAATTTTTGTATTTTTAGTAGAGACGGGGTTTCACCATGTTGAACAGGATGGTCTTGATCTCTTGACCTCGTGATCCACCCGCCTCGGCCTCCCAAAGTGCTGGGATTACAGGCGTGAGCCACCGCGCCCGGCCATGGGTAATTTTTTTTGGAACATTGTTGTTGGTTCTGTTCCCTGATAGACAAGCTTGAATTCAGTAGACCATATAGAAGTTCAAATCGCATTTTAAATATGGTAATTCAAAATTTAGCACGTATTCCTAACTTCAAAAAAAAAAATCAAAGCTAATTATAAATGGAAGGAAGCTTCCTAAATATGATAGAATATTGAATAGAAACCAAGAATAAACATCTTACTAAATGGCATTCCTGTTCATATCAGGACTGTGACTAATATGGTTACTTAGCATTATTATCCAAGATTATTTGGAAGTCCTGGCTAATACATTAAGAGAAACATAGCATAAGTGATATACATATATATATATATATAGAGAGAGAGAGAGAGGGAAAACATTTATTATTATTATTAGCAGATAATATATACTTCCATAGTAAGGAGCTTCTTACAACTAATAAGAGAATTCAGTAAAGTACCTAGACACAAAAAGCAATAATTTTCTTTTATAAGAGCAGCAACCAATTAGAAATTGGAATGGGAGGAAATTACTCATCATAGACAAAAGGTGAGAGACCTAAAAATAAACAAGAAAAATGCAAGACCTACTTGAAAGAAAAGTGTAGAATTTGATAGACAAGCACTTAATAAGACTCAAATAAATGGCAATATATACTATGAATCATAATATTACACATGTATCAATCCTTTTTAAATTAATGTGTGAATTTACTATAAATATTTGGTAAATCAGTGCATGCATGAATGTGTCAATACGTGATATAAAGTAGACTTCACAAAATTAAAAGCATGTGTTCTTTCAACTACAGTGCTTCCACTACAATCTTTTATGTTGGCATGTGAGCAACTTTAAAAAATGTCATAATGAAAAAAAATTTAAATCTGCAGGGAAGTTTTAGTGACAATCAATGTTTTTTAATCATAAAGAAAATATCCATTGTAAGCTTTAGCTTTATCTGACAAAATGAAACCTTTAATTTCCTTAAATGATTAGAATAGTAAATGCTGGAAATAAGTAGCTCGAAATTAATTTTCTTCCATAAGGGAATAGAACATAGGTAGTATATTGAATTAATCTATAGGGTTTTCCCCTGTATTTGACTTTATATTTTTAGTTAAATTTTCTGTTCCCAAAACTGGAATTGTCTTATAATTGCCTGGTGACAAATTCCTTGCTATCTTTCGTAGCACCTGGAATAGTATGCCTGTACAGTAAGCACTTAATAAATGCCCTTGGGAGAAATTAATCTAATGTAACTAAATAGCGTACAGAGAAAGTGAGGCTTCTTTTGTGATGTTTATCTTGCACTTAGCTACTTTACTAAATTATCTTATTATGGAACAATTGTTCTTAAACAGCAATGTCTGAAATAGTAAGTGAAATACTCAGTGTTGCTGTGGTCACTCACCTTAATCAGGTTGACTCCTCACTCGAAATTTGATTCAGATGTCAAGACAAATGATAGCACACATGCACCAAGAGAATATGAAAATGTTTATTAATCACATAATGATGCTTTCTGGGGAGGGCAGGGAATGCCTCCAGGCAGGTCTGAATATGGCTTGAGAAGAGGGAAGAAACACCACTAGTCTGGAGTGGGGGCTCGAAGGGGACTCAGAGGGAGCTCCCTCGTAAGGACTAGGATTTGGGTGGTTTGAACTTCCCACTGGTGCTAAAGGTACACCCAGTTTTCCCATCAACTTGCCTAGATACACGCAGGATTTTTTTTTTTTTAATCAACCTAGTGCACCTGGATTCTGTTGTTAACTTGCCCAGATAAGGAGCAGAAGGGGAAGAGAAAAAGGTAGTGTTTGAAAGCTGTCCGCAGTCAAACAAACAAAAATGGAGTTAGACTGTTGGTTACAAATGCATTTTTTTAGTTTGAAAATGTGGAATTTCACTTGTGCAACTATTTATTCATTGTGATATGTCCTTAGGACAGTAAAAGTCTTTGTCCTTTACATTGTTATTGAAGACATGGGTCTAGAACACAAACTGATTGTTTGGCCAAGTAGAAAAAAACTCATGATTTCCAGGTAGATTTTACCAGCTAGCGACTAGATACTGCTTTTACTGTGGAAAACATGTAACAACTCTGAGATTCAGTTTTCCTAACAAGAAATGTATGATGTCTTCACTTCATAATGAGGACTGAACTAGCCAATATATGTAAAACACTTAGCACACAGTATAGCACATGCCACATACACAAAAAAGACATTTAATTTTTTCTGTTGTTACTGCTGCTATTCAGAGAAGATGGAGAAACTGACGTAGACATAAAGATAACACTATCTAAATAAATAGAAGAGAATGTCTCATTGTAAAAATGTGAGTGCTTCTCAAATTAATATACACATTTAACACATTTCCAATCCCAATCCCAACCAGTTTTGGAAAGGATAAACAAAATTATTGAGAAATTATAGTATAGAATAAATGTGAGACTTGCCAAGAAAATGTGAAAAACAATAATTAATAAAAAGTTGCCTACAAAATGTCAAAACTTAATATGCAACTAGTAAGATTAAAACAATATGAGCCTGACATAGTAACTAAAACACAGTGGAATGGACTAGGGGGATTTCGAATGCAGGTTTCAATTTAATTTGTTTTCTCTGTAATCCTTTGTATCTCATTCTATACATTTTAAAAGATTACAACGAGGAATGCTCTATA